AAGTAAGTATTATTTACACTCACGGAAATTACGAGAAATTAAGGAATATAAATTAGTAAACAGTTTTAGTAACATAGCAAGTGGTCAATTCAAAATATCAGTTGTCTGAAATATAAATGTTTACGTTGCACGTTTAATCGCATAACAAATCTTTGCAATCGATTGACGTTATATAATTTGTTTAAACAACACGTAATAGCAGAACGATATGTATTACGTAAAACGATTTTTTTTATGTAATACTAAATTATTTCATAGAAAACTTAATACTGAAAGTATCTAACATATAAAAATCGAATATTGTAAAGAATATTAATGAATATGATTTTAAAGTTATAGAATTATGAAATATTTAATTTGTGTGTTGATAAAATATGTTGGAAGTGCTGCAAGATAGATGTCGCTGCTAATCAGAGGATTTTCTTTAAATCTGTAAAAAAACTTAAAGATTATTCCTTTAATAAGTACATTTTTTAGTAAGTTATTTAAAATAATAACATAATTCAGAAAAGATAATAAAATTTGGAGATATTATACACAGATGTATACATGTATTCAAATGGTCAGCAAGTAATACTGCAATCAAACCACTACAACAATGCAAATATACCTAGAACATTCTACAACTAGGTAAAATTTGCGAATATAGATCAATCATTTTTCGTATGTTATGAATCATAATAAGGCGTTCGGTACAATGTCATTAAACAATTTTGTAGAATTCGTAAGTTACATAAAGCAACTTTATATTTTGATGCACGAAGCGAACAAATACATTAACAGTAAAACTAGTTAACTGCCTATCACAGATACCACAAAGAAGTCGTGCCTTTACAATTGTCAAAATTAAATATTACTGACGCAATTGCAACTTTTTTACAATAAATAAACTGTTTATAGAGCCAGTCAAATCAAATTCTTCGCAACACTCGGTACTTTACTATCAGCGTTCGATGATTTTTCAACAAAGTGGAAATTAACTGCTAATTAAACGTCATTGATTAAACGATATCCATTCGTCTTATTTTAAACACATTGTCTGCCGCAATAGTGGATATATTTGCAACCGAATTGAATGAAAAATGGCCGCAAACGTGAGAACAGGTGAGTTTATCCTCGAACCTGTCATTGTTCACAATAGTTCAAACAATGTGAATTACATATTTCGGTTTGATGACGAGTGCAAGTGTCAACATTTATATCGCTACCGTGCTTGAGATTATTCTCGAATTTTGATCCTACGTCATGCTTTCAGCTCACACGTCAAATCAAAGTGCAATTGCGATTCGTTAAATTTCCATTGTTATCGCCATGCCTTGGGGAACCGTATTGCGTCAAATCGCGGCTCACATTTGATAGCGAACTTGTAATCGTAGTGTAGAGACTCGTTTATTCCAAATACACATTTTTTTCCACGATTCCTATTGTGCATCCGTTTCTACGCATCTGCATCTGCGCTGTGTAAGATGAATGTGTAGGAGAGTGTCCGTGCGATCCGTGCCTGGCCGTGCATTGCATGCACGTGATAGTGTGCGTTAACGAAGTTACATTTCAAATATCATCATACATATCTCGTGTTTCATTTTAGAAATGCGAATCCCAACACGAACAGCTCCTCGTCCACCCATTAATTCCACTGCACAAAGGACTGCTGTTTGGAACAGCTCGTAAGTTCTATATTATTTTAATTAAATAATTATGATACTGTGTCATATTACAAATAGGTTTTAAAAAACAATTACAACATATAGGTAATTTCACCTGACATTGCCATCTAGATTCTATAGTTGATGTGGAAAGTATTTGTACAGGAATTAATTTAAATTAAAACTATGTACATCCCTATCAGTAATAAATTTAAATTGAGAAAAGAATAATAATATATATTCTTAAATGTTTGTAGATCAGATTTAGTGCAAACAAAATTTCTTTCTCATCAACATCTACAAAAGTATTAATGAAGACAGCCATAGAGATAGACGTGCAGAA